CTCAGGCTGGTTTCGAACTCCTGAGCTCAAACAATCAGCCCGCCTTGGCCTCCCAGAGTGCTAGGATTACAGGCGTGAGCCACTGCGCCCGGCCTATTACTCATTATTTTGATAAATAGTATAACAACACTCAAAACAGCTGTGCTGCAAGCAACAGCTTTTCTTCCTGTGCTACCATCTCTTGTAGGACCATTAGCAGTCTGCACAATGCAGCTCAGATACCCGAATTAATTAATTAATTATATTTCATATTAGTATTATGAAAACTCACATTATAGCAGAAATACCTGTATGTCCATGTATGTTATGAGTTGGATAAACTTTAGACTTCATTTGGAGTGAGTCAGAACTTGATTCCTGTGGGAACAAATATCTCCCTCCAAAAAAACTTTTGGAGCATAACCAAATATTTATTCATCTCTGAAACAGGGAACGTACCTTACCTATATCACAGATTTGTTCTAAGGATCAACCGTGAGTAAATATTTATTTATTCTGTCATTGAACAAACCTTTAATGAGAACCAGTATGTGCAAAACACTGTGCCAGGTGATGGAGAGGTAAATCAGATAGGCTCTCTTCAGTTTAGTAGGGCAAGAAAGCGATGTAAAAAATGAAACTGATTGTTATGGGTGCAATATATGATTGTACAGTTAGTGGTGCAAAAGAGAGTAAATATAAAAGGCTTTGTGGAATAGTTGATGTTTGAGCTGAATATTGAAAAATGATTAGTTGCTTGTCAGGTAGCCATGAATGAGGGTGGTGATGAGTAGAACAGAGCAGGAGCAACAGTGTAAGAGGCTAGTGTGTTCTGAAGCTGCAGATGCAGATGATTAGAGGATAAAAGTACCAGAGATGTTGCAGGGTGTGGGGTGAGGTATATAGGTAAATAAAATGGGGTCGGAAGGTGAGATGCATGATCCTAGGAGCCTTTCTCAGGAGTCTGAATTTTATTCTGTAGAAAGTAAGAAGCCATTATAGGGTCTTGAACTAAGAAACAACATGATGGGTTCTACATTTTCAAAAGATAACTGTGCTCCATAGCATGTGCCATTAGGAAAATGCAAATTAAAATAACAATGAAATATCACTATACGACTGTTAGAATGGCCAAAATTGGGAACACTACCACCGCCAAATGCTGGTGAGGATGTAGAGCAACAGAAACTCTCATTCATTGCTTGTGGGAATGCAAAATGGTACAACCACTTTGGAAGATGTTTGGCAGCTTCCTGTAAAATTAAACATATTCTTACCATATGATCCAGCACATGTGCTCATTGGAATTTGCCCAAATGAGTTGAAAACTATGTCCACACAGAAACCTGTGTGCCGGTGTTTAGTAGGTGAATGGAGAAATAAGCTGTGGTACATCCAGACAATAGAATATTATTCAGCACCAAAAGAAATGAGCTATCAAACCATGAAAAGATATGGGGGAAACTTAAATGCATTTTACTAAGTGAAAGAAGCCAATCTGAAAAGGCTGCATACTGTATGTTTCCAACAATATGACATTCTGGAAAAGACAAAACTATAGAGACAGTAAAAAGACCAGTGGTTGCCAGGGGTTGGGAGGAGAGAGGGATGAATAGGCAAAGCACAGAGGATTTTTAGAACCGTTTATCTGTTTTGCGTTACACTATAATGGCGTATACATGTCGTTATACATTTGTCCAGACTCACAGGGAGTGAACTCTAGTGTAAAGTGTGGACTCTGATAATGATATGTCACTGAAGAGTTCATCATTTGTAACAAATGTACCACTTTGGTGCAGGATGTGATAGGAGGAGGCTGGGAGGGGAGCAGAGGTATGTGGGAACTCTCTGTACTTTCTGATCAATTTTGCTGTGAACCTAAAAGTGCTCAAAAGATAAAGTCTATTCAGAAGGGGAAAAAATTCATGTTTTGGACTAACATATTAATTTCTTAAAATTTTGCTAAATATAGTGATGAATTTATTGGTTTAAATTTTAACAAAAATATTTGTTGAGTGTATACTATTTATAACTGTGCTGAGCTCTAGTAAGAGACACTAAAAATATAAAAGTATATACCTATTTTTAATCTTACAGTATAGATGAGAGATTGATTTCAGAGACGAATGTGAAAAGTTCAGGATTAGACATAATTAAAAACACTAATTTGAATCCTGGGTCTGTCTGGAAGATTGAAATGGGCCAGAGTTACTCAGAAAATCTTTATGAAAGAATGAGACTTTGAAATAGGCTTGTTAAAAACAAATTATTCTTGTTTTTTAGGTACAAAACTCAAAACATGAACAACGATATATATTACCAATGTTCAAAGCTGATTTGGCTAGAACTGGAATACAGTTGCCTACAACATATTGTAGAGGAATTAGAAAAGTCAAAGTAATGGATAACAGAAAAGAGCCTCCATTCTTCAATGAAGATAATGTGGGACCGTTTTACTACAAACTTCCTTTCTATGATACCATGGAGCTCTTCATTGAAACATTAACTGGAACATGTTTTGAGCTGAGAGTTTCTCCCTTTGAAGCTGTTATTTCTGTGAAAGCAAAAATTCAAAGATTGGAAGGTACTAGTCTTTCTTTATTTTTAGGATATGAGGATTAAATTTGTTGACCAAGAATGTGTAATAATTTTAAAGTTTTTTAATGGAGAAAATTCAAACATATATGGCACTGGAAAGAATAGGATAATGAATCCCCATGTACCCTTCACTCAACTTCAGCAATTTATCAGCTGTGAACTGTCTTGTTCCCATTTCTGTGTTCTTCCTGCCTCGTTCCCCTTCCACTAGGTTCTTTTGAAGCAAATTCCTGGCATCATGATAATGTTGTGAAATAATATTTTACAATAGTTTCGAACAGGTTGTGATAACGTGCAAATTCTGCCTTAATTATATTAAAGTTACTTGTAATGGAAAGTAGTAATTATAGTCCCCTTTTTTTTAAATTGGGACTTGAGGTTTTAGTATGTGTTCCCTTTTAGTGAGCTTGATTACCTTTTTACATTGCTTTGCAAATCCTTTTATTTTTTTTAATGTGGAGATTTGCTGAGAAGAGTTTTTGGTTTACATTTACATACATTCAAAGTTCCTTTAGTATAGCATGCATACTGAATAACGTGTAATGTCTATTTTATGGTTTGTGTATGTTAAAATTAGTCTTTCTCTCTGTCCTTTGCAGATTTCTGAAATAAATGATATTTGCCATTTATAGTTGTTAAAATCCAGTTTTGACTAGAAAATTGAACTGTTTCATGTAACACTAAATGGATCTTTGCTTATGGAGCCAGCTGGAACTTGCTTGTAATATAAAGGTGATAGCTAGGATTGACCTCCAGCCAGTTTAAGTTCAGAATTATAGAAGGATGAGGAGGGTCAGAATTTTGATCCTTGTGAGGCCAAGGATCCTGGTGTCTGAGCTTGTGAATATTTGCGGTTTCTCTAGCCCTGGGCAGGTTCTGTTGAAGTTAGTGGCTGGCTGAGTCCAGTGACCACATCAGCACATCCAGTAATGATTAGGGCCCTCCCTTAGTTATCTCCTTTTAACTTGATTACATCTGTAAGGAACCTACTGTCAAATAAGGTCTCATTCTGAGGTACTGGGGGTTCAGACTTCGACATATGAACTTTTAGGGGACGCAGTTTAACCCATAACAAGTATATAGTTCTGTCAGCAAACATTTACTGTCATGTCATCGCCACCACAGTCAGTACATGGAATAGTTCCATCATCCGCCAAAATTTTCCTGCGCTTTTTATGGCTAACCCATTCCTCTACACCCAGCCCGGGTACCCGCTGATCTATTTCTGTTCCTATAATTTTGGCTTTTCAAGAATTTCATATAAATGGAATCATATATTATACAGTCTTTTACATTTGCTTTCCTTCATGTGTGCATAATGCATTTGAGATTTATCCATATTGTTACATGTGTCAATAGTTCATTGTATTTATGGCTGGGTAATGTTCCATGGTATGGGTATACTGTAGTTATTCTTTCCCAAGTTGAGGGACATCTGGTTGGTTTTCAGTTTTTGGTGATTGCAAATAATGCCATATAAACCTTCACATTATAGGTTTTTATGGAAGCATAGGTTTTCATTTCACTTGAGTAAGTACTTAGTAGTAGAGTCTCTGAGTTGTATAGGAAGTATACATTAATTTTGAAAGAAACTGCTAAACTGTTTTCCAGAGTGGCTGTACCATTTTCCATTTGTACGAGTAGTATATAAAAGTTTTAGTTGCTTTGCATCCTCATCAGCACTTAGTGTTATCTGGGTTGTTTTTGTTTTAGTTTTAATTTCTTTTTTGCTAATAGGTGTTGGCAATGTTTCACTGTAGTATTAATTTACATTTCCTTAATGACTAATGATGTTAAGCATCTTTTCATTTGCTATTTGTCATCTGTCTTAGTAAGTTCAGGCTGCTGTAACAGAATACTATAGACCGATGGCTTAAACCCCGAATTTATTTCTCACAGTTGTGGAGGCTGGGGAAGTACAGGATCAAGCAGATGTGGTGTCTCGTGAGGGTACTTTTTCTGGTTCGCAGTTAGCTGTTTTCTTATTTCCTCTCATGGTAGAGAGAGAAGGAGATTATCTCACTCATGTCACTTACAAGGGTGCTAATCCCATTCTTGAGAACTCTACCCTCAAGACCTAATTATCTCCAATATCATCACATTGGGGATTTAGGCTTCAGCATATGAATTTGGGGGGATACAAACGTTCATTCAGTCCTTTGCCTCATCTGTATATCTTCTTCTTTTTTTTTTGAGACAGTCTCACTCTGTTGCCCAGGCTAGAGTGAGTGCCGTGGTGTCATCCTAGCTCACAGCAACCTTGAACTCCTGGGCTCAAGCAATCCTTCTGTCTCAGCCTCTCGAGTAGCTGGGACTACAGGCACGCGCCACCATGCCCAGCTAATTTTTTTCTATATATTTTTAGTTGTCCGATTAATTTCTTTCTATTTTTAGTAGAGACGGGGTCTCGCTCTTGCTCAGGCTGGTTTCGAACTCCTGAGCTCAAACAATCCATCCGCCTCGGCCTCCCAGAGTGTTAGGATTACAGGCGTGAGCCACCGCGCCCGGCCTGTATATCTTCTTTGGTGAAATGTCTATTGAAATTTTGCCCATTTAAAAAAATAAGTTGTTTTCTTGTTATTGTGTTTTGGAGTCCTAGGGTTTTTAAATTTTCCATTATGATTTTTTATGTCTTCTTTGACCTATGAATTGTTTAGAAGTATACTTTTATTTCCATATTCAGAAATTTTTTTAATTTCATTTAGTTATTAATCACTAATTTAATTGCATATGGTCAGAGGAAATAGAACATTTATGATAAATATGTTACTAATATGTGTAATTGTCTCAGTTTTATAGCAACCTGAGGCTCTTTAAAATTCATTCATGGTATATAAAGAGAACAGGAAGAAAAAAATTGATGTAATGAATTATATTGATATGACACATTCAAATGTAACCTAGTCAAAAGTAGAATAAATGGTAGAACATATGGTAGAAACCCTTCTTAGTACAGAACACATACATTCTGGGTAAAAGTTTAAAAAAAATTTTTTAAAGCCTGTTTCAACTTGTGTTAATGGAAACAGTAACAGGCCTGAAATGACAAGTAAGCTGGTGTTTGTTCCAAAAGCCTTTGACAATCTCTGGTGACCCTGAGCCTGAAGCACAGAGGAAAGGAGAGAAAATCTGGTACACAATGAGCAGTTGACTTAGAGGTAAATCTTTGTTCCACAAACATCCTTTTTTTTTTTTTTAGTGTCTCCCCACTCCCTGCCTCTTTATTTTCTGGCCCAACAAGTTATTTCAGGGTCAAAGGTCATCATCAGGATCATCTTGTATATTTTCTGTCCCTATTTCTCCAAGGAGCCCTGGTTCTTTATATTCTAGAATAGTATTAAACATCCAGATCTGGGCATGGCAATTGACTCTTAAGCCACAATAGTGGGAGCTAGACAACAGTAGAATGTTACCCTCACAGTTCTGAGAGGGAATAACTATCTCTACCTAGAATTGAATGTCCAGTGAATTTGTCTTTCAAGGATGAGGACAAAGCAAAGACGTTTCCAGAAAAAACAAAACTTGAGTTTCCTAATGGACTCTTACCGAATGAACTTCTAAAGAATACATCTAAGAAGGCAGCAAATGATCCCTGAAGGAAATTGGTGATACAAGGTGGAATGGTTATCTTTGTCAACTATGTTTCAGTGAAGCTGAGGGGAAGACATTATAGAATGGTTAACAAAATGGCACATTTCTGGATAAATCTAAGTATATGTTTACTTAATAAAACAATATATCAAAGATTTAAAAAATGACGGGCTGAGCATAGTGGCACATGCCTGTAATCCCAGCTACTCAGGAGGCTGACATACCCAGCAGCACAAACCAGAGTAAGACATGGGTATTCAAATCTCTAACTATAGTTGTGGATTGGTCTTTTCCTTCTTGTTACTTTATCAGTTTCTTTGTCATGTATTTTGAAGCACTGTTTTTAGGTACAAACACTTTCAGGATTTTAAGTTCTCTTGATTTAATTGACCATGTCATCATTATGAAATGGCTTTCTTTATATTTGCTAATAGTTTTTGCCCTGAAATCCACTTTGTCTGTTATTAATATAACCACTCCAGATTTTTTTTGACTAGTGGTTAGCATGAAATATTTTTTTCATCCTTTTCCTTTTAACCTTTTTTTAAAAATTTAAGGTGCTTTTTTTTTTTATTTTAATAGGCGGCATGTAATTGGGTCTCGCTTTTTAAAATCTAATCCAACAATCTGTGCTTTTTAATTGCAATTTTTAGACCATTTTGTTTAAGGGGGTTTGTTTGGATCATGATGCTGAAAAACACAATCCTGAATACCATAGCCCTAAATGTTGAAATCCCAAAAGATCAAAATCCCTCATGTCTAAGATCCTGAAAATCACAATCACAGGATAGCTGCATCATGTTAGGTAGAACTATTACTTTGTCATTGCCTTCATTTGGAAATTAAGTGTGGTTTAAGGAGATGTGTATGGGTGCCAAGTTGACAAGGGGTACACTCTTGGGCTTAATTTTAGGTGTCAGCTTGACTGGATTAAGGAATGCCTGGAAACCTGATAAAGCATTATTTTGTGTGTGTCTCTGAGGGTATTTCCAGAGGAGACTAGTGTGTGAGTCTGAGTGGACTAGGTGGAGGAGATCTGCCCTCATTGCTGGTGGGCACCCTCCAGTCGTCTGGGGGCCCTGAGAGAACAAATGCAGAAAGTGAATTCCAGCTCTCAGAGCTGGAACAGACTTTTTTCTGCTGCCTTGGGCATCAGAACTCAAGACTTGCTGGCCTTTGGGACTCCAGTACTTACACGAACAGACCCTCAGATCCTGAGGCGTTCAGCTGCAGACTGAGAGTTACACCATCAGCTTCCCTAGTTCTCTCAACATAAAAATGTTGCGACTTCCTCAGTAAGTGAAGACATGTCCTTTTTGTACATCTACATTTATGATAGATAAGATTTCTCAAGATATCGGCTTTTTGGGTGACTGCATAGGCAGTGGTGATTCA